GGAGGGAAGCTGGTCAGGAGCAGCGAGCGGTCAGGGCGAGGGTGGCAAATACGTCAGGGGCCCAGGGCTCCTCAACCCTCGGGAACTGTGGCCCACAGCAGGGGCAAGCCAGGTCCCACAACAACCTCCTGCCCCTTCCTGTGGCCCTTCTCTCTCCTCCCAGTGGGATGCCAGCTGTTACCATCTGCCTCTGGTATGCCCCACCCCCTCTGCGGGCTGTGCTCCCAAATTCACCCACCTTCCTCCTTTCCCTTTCCCCCTTCTCTTCCCTTCCTTTCTCCCTTTCCCTCTCTCTCCTGTTCTTTTCATTCTACACATACTTAGTAAGCACCTACTCCATGCTGGGCCACGTGCTGGGTGCTGGGAAGACAGAAATGAATCAGACACAGACCCTACCCTCAAGGAAACCCCTGCTGGCCAGAGACATCAAGGAGTTAATGATCACATACCCTACAAAGTGCCAAGCACAAATGACCAAGGATGCTCAGGAGGCCTTGAGAACTACTGAGGTGGAAGGAACCAGTTCTGGGCAGGGGGTAAACCCAGGGAGGCTTCCCAGAAGAGGCAGCAGCCCTGCAGCCCTGCCAAAAAGGCAGCACAACATGGTGGGAGGTATCCTGGACCAAGTCAAGAGACTTGGAGTCTGGCCCTGGTTCTGGTAGAAAATTGCTGAGGACCTTGGACATATCTCTCCCCTTGTCAAGGCCTCAGTTTCCCCATCTAGAAAATGGGGAGGGGTGACACCAACAAGGTTGTCTCTAAGGACCTTTCTGACACTGTAGCTTATAGAGACTGACTCTTGCCATCTCCCAGCTCTTCCCACCTGCTCTAAGATGCTATCAGCTTTAGCAAGGTCTCTGGTGACTTTCCTCCTCCAGAGATGCTCTCCCTCCTGGTGCGTCAGGAGAGGGTCCTGAGAGGCAATCAGTCCCCAGCCCATCACCCCTGAAGATGGAACAGACGGAGGGACCTGGCCTGGCACTGAACAAAGCCCCCACTTGACCACCCCAGGGGTGCTCAGCCCACCCAAGAACATGCCAAAAATTATCCCTGGCATGTGGGCGGTGCTCACTGAGAGTGGTTTTCTGGTCAAGTTACACATGATACCACACAGAACCCCAGGGGCTGCCCTGTCTTGCTGGGGTGCCAGGTGGGAAGAGGGGCTGAGGAGCAATCTGGGGCACACTCCAGGCACACAGGCAGCAGTGGCTGGGGCCTGGAGGCAGAACAGAGCCTGCTGCTGGCTTCGCTGGTCCCCGGAGGGACTGCAGAGGAGGAGCCCCGACGCAGACCCTCCCTCTGCACCAGCTGCCGAGTAGCAGGATGCAGCACAGCTGTCTGCAGAGCTAGAGGAGCCACCAGCGTATGTGGTGGAAGCCACAGCCTGGAAGTGCTGGGAAGAGCACCCAGAGGCCAGACTGGATTCCCTGCCTCCGCTCCTCCACCAGGCTGTCCCTCCCCCCACCCTGCCCCACAGGAAATAAAGACCTTCTGTTGCCCTTGTGCCCCACTGAACACTGACAGACTCCTAGCTCAGCTAAGAGGCGGGGAATAGGGATCCACTCCCCCAACACAGAGCCAGGTCTTTCTAGCCCCTGGTCATGAACACATGGGAAGGAGCCTGGGCTGGAATCCTGGCTGCAGCTGCTAAGCTTCTGCATGAACTTGGCCAGGTGACTTCACCTGTCTGAGCCTCAGTTTCCTCATCTGTAAAATATAACCGTGCATGCACCCCACTCGATGCTACAGGAATGAAGGGAAGCTCAGAGCGCTCAGCACGGGAAGGGCGCACAGTAAGGAGCGCTGACAGCGGCTGTTACACACCTTTCACATCAGCATGCCCGGCACTCTTTCCATGAATTATTTCCTTAACTCCCAGCAAGCCTATGAGGAAGAGTCTATTCTTATCCCCGTTTTACAAGTGAGAAAACCAAGACACAGAGAGTTTAAATAATCAGCCCAAATCACACAGCTAGAAAGTATCCGGTGCTCATTAGCTCCTGTCATGTGGTGTCATTTTGCCACAACACAACAGCCTGTGTAGCAGGTGTTGACTCCACTTGACTCTTGTAACAGTAAGAGACTCAGAGGGTTAAGAACTTGTACAAAGACACACAAGCGGTGACAGGCTAAGTAGGATTTGAATTCAGCTGACTCTGGCTCTAGCCTCCTTCCCTAACTCCTGCTACCTTCTCAGGTTCCAAGAGTTTCCAAAGGGCTCTGGGGCCGGGACTGGAGTCCAGAAGGGGCGTGTGACCGCAAGGCGGCCAGGCCTCAACGAAGGACGGACACTGACAAGAGCCACAAAAATGCAATGCTTTGAGCGCCCCCCAGTGGCCAGAGGTGAGCAGCGCTTGTGCCAGAAGCTGGAGGCAGGGGCGGTGCTTTCACCTCTCCCAGAGGGGGAGGCAGCTAGAGATGGTGGGGCCACACAGGAAAATGGGAGCTCGGCCCCCTGCGGATAGCAGGTTTGGCTACTCCCCTCGAATCCGCTACCTTACACTTCTCCTGTAACAGAGTAGGGCCATAGCTACTTGGAGCAGAAGGCTAGGGTCTGATACCCCTGAGGGCTGCGCGTCCCCTGACCGCTCCTCCACTCGCAGGGTGTCTACAGGAGTCCTCTAAGACCTGACTCCAGGACAGAATGATATACTATGGTAAAAATCAATACTACCAATACACTAGACAGAAGTTCCCGATCAGAGGGACCAGGTAGACCCCTGAAGAGGTGGCTTCCCCCTTGCTGGCCCTCGGTTTTCCCGTGTGCAACACAGGGGGACAGAACTCTAACCTCTAAGGGTCCTCCCAGTCTCATGCGCCACAGTGCCAAGCTTTTACAAGCGATCACTGGGAGCTCCGGGCAGGGCCAGCCCATCCGCGTCCCGAACCTGGTGCAGTATGCATCCCTCCAACCCACTCCTTGCCCTCCAGCAGCCATGGGTAAGCACACATATGTTCCAGAACACGAACGGCACTCACCTGCACACACACACACCTGCCCCTGAGTGACAGCCCATTCGTGCAGGCCCGCACCAGCTCTCCCGCCAGGGGAGATAAAGGCCCTGTCTCAGCAAAGGCACCTGCAGGAGGCTGGAGCCGCCCCCCAGCACCACCCGCAGGGGAGAAAGCCCAGCTGGTCTCCCTTGGGGGTCTGGACCCCGCCCAAGCCAGAAGGCAGGACAGTGAAACTCATGGACCCTGGGAGGCCCAAAGGGCAGTCTGTGCCAGTAGGTAATGAAAGAGGGTGACAAGGTTTATAGGTCTATGCTCCAGGCTAGGCTCCCTTCTGGGCACCTGTGTGACTGACCGCAGACACTGAGGTGGTAACCCCCATTTTACAGGGCAGCAACCTGAACCTCTGAGAGTAAGGCAACGAGTCCAATCTCCCACAGCTGGGACTCAATCCCCGGCAGCCTGGCTCCCCAGCCCACCCCCTTTCCCATTCTGTCATCTGCCTCCTCAAGGGGTGGCCCTGGCCCTCATCTCCAGCCCCTAACCAGGGATAGTCTCACATCCCTGCCCAGGCCATCATGCTGCTGCGCCTGCTCAGAGATGGGGAGACAGACAGGATCCAGGGAGCTTGTCTCTGGGTCCCAGCACCCTGCTCAGCACCAGGCCCCTTAGGGCACTGAGCGCTTATTTTTTGAGTGAGCGAATGGGTGAGGAAGACGTGAAAGAATGCACACAGCACAGGCTCCTGGGGCAGCTGGGGAATGACCACATGCCCTTGCCTTGGTTTCCCTGTCTCAGCTGGAGGCTGGACTCCAGGGCTCCTCCAGCCCTGACATTCCGAGACTCCATGTGTAACAGGTTCTGGGAGCCCTGCCTCCTGCCTGGACCACCTCTGGAGGCCGGCAGGGAAGGGTGAGGGATACAGGCAAGGCGTCTCTCCCACAGGCCTCCCTGGCCAAAGCCAGACCAAAGGCCCAGAGGGTGGGTTCATAAGGAGAGTGACCCCAGACTCACCTGCCCAGCTGGCTGTGGCAGCCTCCCACATAGAATGCCTGCTTCCACTCTTATCCCCCAGCCAGAGGGGATGGTGCTCAGCCCCTTCCAAGTCTCCCCTCTACTTCCCATCAACTGAGACAAACTCAAGACCCACCATCAGCCTTGCCTCATGCCACTGCCCCCTCTGGTTACTGTCCAGCGCAACAGCCTCCTCTGTGGGTCCCCACCAGACCAACCCCTCTTCTGTCTCTGGGCCTTTGCACATGCTGCTCCCTGTGAGACCGCTGCTCCCTCTGTGAGTCCACTGCTCCCCCAATTGTTGGCCACTTCTTCGGATCTCAGCTTCAGGATCCTGCTCCTCAGAGAGGCCTTTGCTAAGCAGCCCACCTGACACCCTGTTGCCGCACTTCGGACCTTCAGCACAAAGTATAATCACAAGCTTTGCTCCCTCTATAGACGATAAACTCTCTGAGGGCAGGGTCACATTTGTTTTGCTGGCCACCATATCCTTGGTACATAGTAAGTGCTCAGTAAATATTTGGTGGACAAATGTTTGCAAGGTGGGAAAGGTGGGAAAGCTAGAAAGCTGGTGGACATCTCAACCTTCTCCTCCAGGCCAGACAGCTTCCAGCTCTGCTCAGAGAGTCCCCTTAGGCCTGGAGAGGACCCTAGCCCTGCACAGAGGACACAGGTTCAGGTCTCAGCTCACCCATGAGACTTTGGATAGTCCCTTCCAGCTCAGAAAATGAGGGTATGGGGTCCATTGGTCCCCAGTTGCCCTTCTGGTTCTAACAAAGTAACAGACTCCAACCCCAGGCTGACAGCCAATGGTTAGACCCAAAAGTCCCTACCATGAGTTTGACTTGTATGTCCCAAAGTTCATCTGTTGAAGTCCTAAACCCTGGTACCTCAGAATGAGACCTAATTTGGAAATAGGGTTGCTGTAGGTGTGGTTAGTCATGATGAGGTCATCCTGAGGCAGGGTGGGCCCCTCATCCAGTACCAGCTGGTGTCCTTATAAGAAGGGAACGTGGACACAGGCCCAAAGGGGACCGTGTGTGGAGACTGGACTTCTGCTGCCACAAGCCAAGATCTGCCAGAAGCCAGGAAGCCTGGAACAACGTCCTGAGCACCTTCGGAGGGAGCGCGGCCCTGCTCACACCTTGTTCTCCGACTCTGGCCTCCAGAATGTGAGACAATACATTTCTGTTGTTTGAAACGCTCAGTTTATGGTACTTTGCAGAGCAGCCCCAGCAAACTAGCCTCCCAGCCTGGGCGCCCAGGCTGATAAGTCAGGACCCAAGGGAGAAAGAACCAAAGGCAGCCAGCCCGGGATGGGGAGGTGCACAGTGGGGCCAGGCAGGGCTCAGGGCATTCAGGGGGAGCCAGAGGGTGGGGGTCCCTTGAGAGCCCCTTGTCTAACTAAGTCTCTGAAGATCTGAGCCCATATTTACATTCACACGCATGCTCTCTCTGATGGTGAGAGGGATTTTTTTTCCTCCCTCTTCCCCCTTTAATTAAAAACTATAAATACCTTATCAAAAGCTAATTAAAAATACCAACAGAGTGCCAAGTGGCAAAATAAAAAATAGCTCAGTACAAGTATCCATTTATAACCCTGCAACAGGCGGTGATGACGCAGCTATTAGAGACGTGTGGGAGAAGGGGGAGAAGCACCGGCCCAGGTCGCAGAGCATCAGGCCTGTCAGCTCTCTCGGGGCCCCTGGCAGGGGTACCCATCGAACTAGGAGCTGAGCAAGCCTCAGGCGGACAGGGGACCACAGCCCTCTGCGTGGCTGTGGACAAGCCGCTGCCCTCCCTTGGTCCCAGCAGAAGCATCTGTAACCAGGGAGGCAGTTCTCGAGGGCTGTGGTGAGAACTGAGATAACGCACATGCATCCAGCACAGGACCCAGTCGCTGGAGCACAGCAGCTCCAGAATTGAGCCCTGCCTTCCAGACATCATCTGTGTCCCCGATGGCTTGAAAAAATCAGATTCAAATGTATAACTCCACTGGGCACTTACCCAGACCCTGTGCTTTGCCTTCACTGGATTTTTAACCCACCAGTGCCCATGAGTGGTGGGTACTGCCATTTTTGCCATTTGACAGATGGGGAGACTGAGGCACAAGAGAAAAAATGGATCACCAATGGACACAGCTGACAACAGGGCAGAACCTGGGCTTGAAGCCAGATCTATCTGACCCCAGAGTCCCTGCTCTTATGCACCAGAGTCTCCTGCCAATGGGCTAAACTGCCTGGATGGTCGTGGCCACCTGTTCCTTCAGTGACCCCAACAGGGATCAGGGATCTCTAACGCCCCCCCACCATCCAGTGGCAAGATTTCCCAATTCATTTCTGACCTGCCTCTCTGGTGTTCCTCCCACAACCACTCTGGTACAGTATCCTGCTCCCAGTTGGTGCCCAGGGCTGCCCCCCACCACTGCAGCACCCCCATCCTCACCGCTGGTCCGAGGGTAGGCAGCGAGGGTCCCATCCTGCAGGCCAGCAAACAGGTGGAAGGGGCTGTGCCGCAGGCAGAGCACGGGCTGCAGACCTGGGCTCCTACATGTCGCCAGGCACTGGGTGCCCGTGTCCACACTGCCATAAACCAGGATGCTGCGAGGAGAGACCCGAGTGACTCATGTAGACCCCGCCCTCACTGCCCCACATGCCCTCCTAGGGGGACGGGGCCGGGGCTACCCCCACTCAGCCAGGCCTCCAGGCCTTCCTTCCACCTTTCAGGAGCTCAGACTCTCCCGTGGGTGATCCATGAGGATGGTGCCCCCCCAGCCCACCCCGGAGACTCCAGAGGCGGCACAGTAAAGGCACACTGAGGCGACTGTGTTCAGGTCACACAGGCCGAGTATGGATCCAGATGCGCCACCTCCCAGATGACTGATCCCAGGCTGCTGCGCTCCAGTTTCCCCCATAAAATGGACCAATGATACCTGCCTCATGGCCACAAAAAGGAATGAAGCACTGAGACCTGCTCTAAGGAGAGACCTTGGAAATGTCATGCTGAGTAAGAGAAGCCAGGTACAAAAGACCACCTACTGCATACTGTATGACTCTACTTATATGAAATGTCCAGAAGAGACAACTCCACAGGCAGGGGCAGGCAATGGGGGTGGCTGTTGAATAGGCACAGGGTTCCTTTGGGGGTGGTGAGAATGTTCTAGAACCAGGTATTGGTAATGGTTGCACATCATGAATATACTGGAAGCCACTGAACTGTACACTTAAAAATGGTTCAAATGATTAATTTTATGTTATGTTAATTTTATCTCATTAAAAGCAAGAAAGGTGTTCATTGGACCCCTGCCAAGACCCCAGCCTGGACTGCACAGAGCTTCTAGACTCTCTGAGTTGGTTCTACATACATAGCTTATTACTCCTTCCTCGGTTTCCTATGGGGGAAATGGGGGGCACTTCTCAGCAGGGCCGCTGTAAGGTTCCCAGGCCCAGGAACCAGCACGTGTAGGGGCTCAGAGGACAGCCTCTCTCCGCTCCCTCCCACTCTAGGACAGGAGCGAAAGGCATAGAGGTGCCACTCATCTCTGGTCTTTAATCCTCGCCCTCACCTTCCAGCTAACCAGGACGAAGATTCATTCTGCAGCCACACTACTGGACAGCAGTTGTGGGTCCCAGCGGCCAAAGCTCCGGCTGAGGCTCCCCTGACTGCAAGCTCGGGTGCTACATGGGGCGTGTGTTACAGGGGAAGCCCCCTCTGCCAGCAGATCTCATAATCTGGGCACGTCTGGGACCCTGCCCACCCTGCAGGTGGAACTGAGGCCATAAGTGGGACACCGTTGGTGACAGCCAAGTGAACCGAAGGCTTCACATGTCCCACGTCTTGGTGGGCTCCCACAGCAGCCCTGGGGATTCTAATCCCACTTTAGAAAAGAGAAACTGAGGCTCAGAGTGGTTAAATGGTGTGCCGGAGGATCCTCCGTCAGGAAATGGTGGATTCAAATGCAGCTCTAGCTGCCACCAAAACCAGCAGACACGCCTGGTGCCACACTGCCCGGCGGGGAGCCAGTGCGCAAGAAGCCCCTGAAGAGTCTCAGTTAAAGTTCATCAGCTCCTGACACTTCAGCTCCCACACTGGTCACCCCTGGTCCCCACCTTCCTTCTGCCAACCAGAGGCAGAGAATATCAGTGGGTACCAAGCCAAACGGGGAAGCTAGAGGGACAGAGCCCCGCACCCCCAGTCTGCCCAGCCCTGCCCTTGGCTGTCCTCAGCCCCTCCACTCCAGGCCCCTCACCTGCCATCCTGGAGCCCGAGGCAGATGGTTGGATGAGCTGCCGCTGAGGGGTCAGCAGCCGCGTGGTTCTTATCTCCATCTCCGCTCTCCCCCTCCTCCGGCTCTGGAATGTACTCCATGCAGAGCACAGGGGCCGCCACCGGGAAGGACTTGACAGTGCGAGGTGAGGGCCGGTTCAGGGAGAAGATCTCCACCTGGCCCCCTGCGCCCTCCTGCCCGCCCCCGACCTAGGGCAGAGACGCAGAAAAGCCGTCAGGCAGAAAGAACCATGAGAGCAGAGGCAGACCTCAGCCCCTGCCCTTCCAGCACCCACCCCAAGCTTCTGCTTGCCACCAGGGCTAGGCATCAAGAGGTTCCCCCATCCTGCCCACACATCCCGAAGGTCACTTATCCCCAGCTGCCATGGCAACAGGTTATATTCAGAGCCCAAAGGAAACCAGGTAAAGAGCTCAGGTGGACTAGATACCCTATCAACTCTGTTTCCCTGTCCCTAGGGTACACTTCAACCAACAAATAGTGAACATACCCTCTACCCCCTTAAACGTCCTCTGTCTTGTTCACTGTTCTACCCCTGTCAAGCACATGCTAGGTACGTGATGGATGTATATATGGATGAATGGATGGATGGATGGATGGAGGGAGGGAGGGAGGGAGGGAAGGAGGGATGGATGGATGGAGGGAGGGAGGGAGGGAGGGAAGGAGGGATGGATGGAGGGAGGGAGGGAGGGAGGGAAGGAGGGGAGGAATAGCAGAGCAGGTGGGTGGGTGGCTGGCTGGCTGGATGGATGGATATATCATGTGCTACATCCTAGGGAAACAGTGAAGGACACATCACCCTCAGAGAGGACATTTGGGTTGGACTCTGAGAGGGGTCTTCCTACACAAGTGCCTGGGGACAGGAACAAGCAGGAGCAGTTGGAGGATCACCAGACGGGTGGCCAGGCTAACGTGCTGGGGAGCCTGGCGGGGGCACACTCTGCACCATGAGGAGCATGGGGACCCCTAAATGAATCAAGAGAGGCTTTGCCAGGGACCCCAAGGGGGCAAAAGAGGTGAGCTGGGCTCTCTGAGAGGGGTGGTAACCAGCCCCACCCCCAGGTGCAGCCCCTGCCACGCTGGCACTCTGCACAGCCCCTGTTCATTTCCTTCGTGGCACTGTGGCCACTTGCAAGAATCATGTTCACTTATTTGTGCCCCAGTTTTCTGTTGTTCCTGATGAGGCTGCACCTGCCAGCTCCCAGCAGAGCCTGGCACAGGGGTTCCCAGGAAGACCTCTTGGGGGAAGGTACACAAAACGGGGGTCAGCAGGCAGGAGGCTTTCCCTCCCTGCTCCCGTCCTGAAGCTTGAATAGGAGTGGGCGCAGGAGTGACTCACCCAGAGGTAGCCCTGTGGAAGGGATGTACTGACCGCTGAGAAGCCCAGCAGGGGACAGCTGACAGGACTGTGCACCAGGGCCCCAAGCTGCAGAAACAGAGAAGGCACACGTAGGGTTAAGTGTCAAGGTGCCCGCAGGGCCTTTTAACTACCAGCCAATTTCTGGGCCCCATTCAAGCCCCAAAGGAGAATCCCTGGGGGTGGGGCCTGGGAAGTGACAGGTTTCACAGGATTTCCAGGCAGTTCCTATGCACCTGTATGTGACCATTCACTGTCCTAGAATCTTGTGGCTAGAAGGGGCCTGAATAATACTCTGGGCCAGCTGAGGACTTTTCAAACTGAGCAACTTCCAGGTAAGTTGAAAACCACTAATGCCCAACCCCCTTCTTTTATAGATAAGGGAAATGAGGTCCACAAAGGACATACAACTGCCCTAGGCCACAGGAAAGACCAGAGACAGGGCCTGGCCTGCACCCACCTCCTCCTTGACCTGCCTGCATTCCTCCAGAGAAGCACATTGGAGAAGAGGAGGGGTGCTGGCGATCTGGGTCCCACCCCACTGAACAACAGAACCCCTCTGACCTGCATGGCTCATGCAGGTTGCCCGCGGAGGGCAGGAGCTATGTCTATAATGGGATTTCACTGACAGCCACCAGCTTGCTCCCCTACACCTCCTACCCCAAACCCATGCCAGGTGGCTCTCTGGCACCTGCTTCCTGAGCTAAACATGGGCCAGTCTGTGTCTCTGGCCAGGACAGCAATGTGAGGACGGGGCCTTTCATGGGCCTTGCTGGAACCCCTCCCAGCTAGATGGAAGGGGAAGGAGGCAGACTGGGGTAGCTTGCGGGCCCCACGAATAAATGTGGCTGCCACTGGACCTGTCAGGCGTGTGCTGCCCTCTGCTGGTGCTAAAGGCCCTGCCCAGCCCCAGCCCTTCTGGAACACTTTAACAAAACATCTAATGGCCTCAGCTGAAGGGGCCCAAGGAGGTCACCACAGCCAGCCCCCTCATTTAGGAATCAGCAAAGCTGAAGTTCAGAGACGGAGGCTAGGTTGCAGGACTGTGGCTGCTCAAGGTCACACAGCAAGTTAGTGACGGAGACACGGCTGGAATGGAGTTTCCTCCCCCAGCTCAGTGCCCTTTCTACTCTGAATTCTACCCAGGGGCCAGGCTGCCATGCTGCTGAGGTTCCCAGCTGCCACTTCCACCTGGCTGGGAGCACAGGTCCAGAGCAGGAGGCTCCTCTAACCCTGGCCTCCTGGGCATCCTCAGGCCCCTGCTCCCAGCCATTCTGCTTCATGCTGGGCCACATCCAGCTGATAGCCTCGCCCTCTCTGCCAGGCTGCTGCTCCTGTCCACTCCTGGTCTGGGAGGGGGCACCCACAGCCCTGGCTCAGACGTTTCCATGGCAACTCCAGTGGGACCAGATGTCAGCTGAGTCAACAGAGCCAGGATCCAAGATGATGGCAAAAACTCAAATGGCTTCTTGGATGGTGAGGGCCTGGACCAAGAAGTCCTGTCCATGGCAGGAGGCCAACTCCCCCCAAATCAAGGTGCCCCATGCACTGCAGAGGAGAGAAGCAAAGGCTGGTGGGAGGGGGCAGGCTTTGGGTAATGCCAGCTCAGCTGCCACCAGCTGGTGACCCTACAAACCAGTTCCTCGTGGTCATGGGGACCCAGACACCTTATCAGGATAGTCATGGGGACTGGATGGACATAAAGCATTTAGCACAGAACTAAGCACCCAGGCATAGCTACTGCTTACCAAGGACTTCCTGTGGGAAGTTCTAGCACTCTCCATTATCAGCTCATCTAATCAGCAGAGCAACACCAGGAGGGGAGGGGCTGTTCAGACAGGCAACTGAGACAGAGTTAGGAGACAGGGGACCCCACAGACAGCAAGCACTTCTGGCTGATGTAGAGTGATGGTCAGGACGGGGGTCCCGTGGCTAGTGCTGAGGCCTAAGTAGGTCTGGCTGAAGACCCCTGTGTAGGCTGGGTTACAGCCCTACTGGTCCCCCAAGGTGCCTGCATCTTAAAGCACCCCAAAGTGGGCAGTACTCCTGCCCAAGCCCCAGTCCCTAGGCAGGCCTCTAGGATGGACCTCAGCCCACCATCAGGTGGGCACTGAGCCCTCCCCTTGCCCTCCTGTTGCCCCTCCAGCTCAGATGCAGCCAGGGCTCCCTGAAGACTCTCCCAACACTTCAGCAGTCAGGCCTTCTGAAATCCCCCAGAACAGACCCCAGTGGCTTTTCTTTCCTGGGGACCAAACTGTCCTCAGACATTTGCTTCCAGTTCTTGAACTCTGTGCACCATGCAACAGGACGGTAAGCCCTTGACACGAATGGAACCACTTGCTCCTCACTGTGACATAGTCAGGGAGGCACTGTGGCCACCCAACTCACACACTGAAGACACAGCAGGGACGGGGACACCGAGATGAAGTAGCACTCCTCATGCTGCACAGCTGGGGCACGCGGAGCTGGGACTCAGGCCCAGGGCACGGTGGCACCCCACTGACGTTCCTTCCCTGTCCCAGCTCAACTCCTCTTGAGTCTGAAGACCCTGGTGGGCAGGCCAGGGCACTGGCCACCATCAGCACAGACAAGAAATATGCTCCTTTTTGAGCCCCCCTGCATCTCTGCTCCCTGGTCCAGATGGCAGTACAAGAGCACAGATCCTGTCTACACTGGGAGAGGAGCTGAGACCAGAAACACTTTCCTGGGGATACACTCAGTCACTGGCTCCCATTAGGCCAGCCACAGCCTGAGTCCTGGGCCCCTGGGTCTGGGCCTGGGGAGAGCTGGTGGGCTGGGAAAGAGGCCCAGGTAGCAGGTAACATGCTCACATCTGTTCCTACAGTAATTGAACAAGGCCCTGGCACTCCAAGGCCCTAATTCATCTGGATGCAGGTACAGAGCTGATGGGGCACATCTGTCTGGTCGGGGCTGAGAAGCAGGCACAGGTGGAGCGACAGGGGTGCCTTGGGACCCAGCAAGTGGGGCTGTACAAACTCCAGTGTATCCCTCAGGAGTCCCACAGGCTCATTACTCCCGGAGATTCACACGCAGTCCCCTCAGCTCACACAGGGGCTCCTCAGGAGGTGGCAGACAGGGGTTTGGGGGCACCAAGGGTGCTTCCAGCCTACATGTCCCCAAGCTCTGAGAGCTCCAAACGAGGAGCCTCCTGGGCCCTTGTGCCCCAGCGTGAGGCTGCAGATGGTTCCCCGCCTGGGTGGGGATTCCTTTCAGGGAGGCCCAAGAAGCAGCAGCCTGTGACGCCACAACCCGGTGTGACCTATCAGGGCACAGCCCATGTCCAATATTCCTGAGACGCCCAAGGCCCTGGGGGGAGATGGGAGAATCCACTTTCCACCCCAAAAGTTACCCAGCTCAGCCTGCCCCATGGGACGCCAGACAGCCAGGCGAGCCCCCAACAGGCTGGACCCTGAACGATCCCCACTGCAAGGACTCTGCCTACCCTTGCCCCAAGGCCCACGGGTGACACCCCCTCCTCATGCTGGGAAGGAGCTTACATGGCTCAGCAGGCCTCCCCATTAATCAATAAATAAGGACTGAAGCCCTACAAAGGCTGGGCTTCCCAAGCCCCAGAAATGGA